CTCGTGGTGAAGGCTGTGGCGGAACCCCGTCAGCCTCGGATCACGTAAGGTGCCCCTTAACGCCCTGTGTGCCCCCCCCCCCCCGAACTCTGGGGCTGCACTGACCAGGGACAGAGACTTTGGGGGGTTGTTGGACTTTTGGGACTTTGGTGATCCTTGGGTTGCTGGTTTCAAGAACCCAAGGGAAAGGACACAGCCCAACTTGCTGGGGTGGGTTTTTTTTGCTCATGGTTTGTGTTATGAATCCTGTTTGTGGTGTTTTTTCCAATTTAATGCTGATGCCGTTTACCTCATGTTATTAAACGTTTTTTTGTTACACTCAGACTCTGTGCTTGCGAGAGGGGAAGTATTGCCTCTTAGAGGCACCCAGGGGGTGGTATGTAATTGTCCCAGGTCACTGGGTGGGGGCTCGAGCCGGTTTTGCATTGCGTTATTGAAGCGGAACCCCTGGATACAGAACCCGGCCCTTGTTGCTGCCAACTTAGATGTGCAGAAGGGTTACATTAGTAATACATGTATTCACTAACACCGTATCATATCCATATGATATAATATATATATTACACACACACACACAAGCACACTCCGTCTTGTTGTTGTTACCAAATAGTTGCTCCCCTTAACTGCACTGGCCAGGTGAGTTAGATGGGGGAGGGGGTGAAGCCGGGCTTCTGCAGATCTGGATCGATGCTCCCATGTTGACAAGACGAGACCCGGGGTCCTCTGCAAGACACCTCACTTTTATAGCAGCTTCCCTCTCATGCAAATCTGTACCAGATTCAAAATTTGTGTCTGTGTCCATTGGTCCTTTGTGCTGCTTCCTTCTGGGTGTTGTCCCAATGCTGCAAAGAGGGTGTTTCCAAAAGAAGGTGCTGGCTCCTAACACCCCCCACCCCCAGGCCATCAGTATGTCTGCTTGTCTTTAATGAGCCCACTTGACACGTTTTATTGTCCTTGGGTCTGGCTCCCAGCCCCTCTCCAATGGTTGAGGCTGTCTGGAGGTGCTGACTTCCGTGCCTTGCTCATCCACAACTCATTCATTCAACAGGGCAATTGATTAAGAGTGGGGTGGGGGGAGATCTTGTTCTACTGCTAGCAAAAATACATTTTTCTTCTATCTTATTCTATCCTTAGGGGCTATAACATTATACCAAGGGCAATGCAAAGTTTCTACATGAGGCTTTGATACAAAGTTTCCATATACCAAGGCTCATCAATAGGAGGTTTCTATATGAGGCTTTGATACAAAGTTTCATAAAAACAGAGGTCACACGTGGGTAGACCAACCACAAGGTTATATGAAGAGGCACAATGTAAAGTCATATGAAAATTATCAGAGATTTATCTACATGTGCCTGTCACTCCCACCCACTGCCTTTGCCTTGCAGCCTGTCCTGAGCCTCTGTTCAAGGAGCTGAGCAAGTCATGGATCACTAAAGCCATCAAAACCCTCAAGGAGATCAATTATCAGGGGGTAGCCGTGTTAGTCTGTATCTACAAAAACAACAAGGAGT